AAAACTGGCTGGTTAATGTGCCGAGAAGCTGTCATTACTGCTATTGCGAAGTACAGTTGTGAAGTAACAACTGCACAGATTTCGCAGCCTACAAATTGTGTCTGTACATTTCTGAACCTTGTTTGCAGAATAAACAGGGCATTTAGCAAAGTATTGATTGTTTCTTCCCAAGTTGATTATTAGCTTCATTTGCAGCTCTTCACTGTTGACATAGCTACTGAAATAAAAGAACAGTGAACACATTTTACACAGCAAGGTAGAAAAGCATGAAAGTACAATTTTTTTTTTTTTAAGATGACCCATAAGGGGATCTTAACCCTTGACTTGGTGTTGTCAGCACCACGCTCTCCCAAGTGAGCCAACCGGCCATCCCTATATAGGGATCCGAACCCGTGGCCTTGGTGTTATCAGCACCACACTCTGCCAAGTGAGCCACGGGCCAGCCCATGAAGGTAAAATTTTAAGAAGCTTGTGATTTTCTCCCATTCATTAACTGTGCTTTTAAGGTGCTGTTAAAAAATGCCAGTGAAGTTAGCTGTAATGGTGAATTTTTGTAAACCAGTTACTCTTCTTCCATTATGGAAAGGGTCCTCAGATGGAACTGAAAACTTTGCAGGCTGGCCCAGCATCTGTTTTCCCTTCCTCAGGTAACAGCACCCATCATTCCCTGTGAACCACCCAACTCCTACTTGGAGTGGATAAAACATGCACCAGGGGGTGGCCACGGGACCCAGGCCCAGCCAATCAGAGCCTGACATACCCCTGACCATAAGGCCCAGAGGAGATCAGTTAATTGATGAGACTTAATCCTGGGCCTCTGTCGTAGCAGCTGGAATTCTCTTTGCCGGACTGGCCAAGAAGATACACTGCAAATCTAGAGTCCCTGGCAGCCATCTTGTGACTGTGAGGAAAGCCCGTGCCTGAGAATGGCCCTTGGGGTAGTTGGCCACCCCCTGGTCTAGATGGCAAAGCAGACGTGAATTTTTAAAATGAAAACGTATGTAATCACACATTTCAATAAACACGATGAAAGATTAAATAAAAAGGATTTTAAGAGAGAGAGAACAGGACACTTCACTTACACGGTAGTGGGTGGGGGTAAGGTAGGCCTCTGAAGAAGTGACATTTAAGCTGAGACCCAAAGTAAGAGTAGGGCTTAGATTTTCATTTGTTCAACAGCTATTTGTTCAGTCCAGATCTACTGTGTGCCAGGCCCTGTCTCTGGTGCTGGGAATACGCCCTTGAGAAGTGCACAGTCTTTGTCCTTGTAGAGGTTATATTGTGGGAGAGGGAGAGAGATGAAAAATTTTTAAATATGTACATTCTTTGAAGAAAAATGAAGTAGGGTAAGAGATAGTGACGGGGATATCTGTGTGATGGTTAGAGAAGGCGTCTCTGAAAAGGGATCTTCAGGTAAGTCTGAAAAAATTTGGGTGTGAAAGAGACAGGTGTCTGTTAAGAGCATATGGCAGAAGAAACTGGATGTGCAAAGGCCCTGAGACAGGAGCATGCTTGGAATGTGGAGAACAGTGAGGGGACCAGGTTAAGAGAGAATGAAGTTGGAGGGGTGACCAGAGCCATGGTGAGCCAAGACTTTAAAGTTGAGTCAGGAATGGGAACCATTGGAGGAGAGACTTGATCTACCTGATTTAAAGGCTTACTCTGTTGGGAAGGGTCCCTGGCGTGGAAGGGTGTAGGTCCCAGGGTGGGTTGCCAGGGCTGGATTGGGATGATAGTGGTGAGCACCTACATGAGGTGTGAAAGGTTGGGGTATCAAGGACAATTGCCATGTTTCTGCCTGGGGCACAAGGTCAAGTGGAGGTTCCATGTCCTGAGTTGGTGAAGGAGCCATTGGGGAAAGAGCTGGAGGTGAATTTATAGTTCAGGTTGGTGAAATTAAGATGCCTGTAAAATACTCTTTTAATAAGGAAAGAAAAACTGGAAACCTATTACTTTGAAAGTCACAAATTGCTGATCCAGAAATAATTTATTATTAATTGTGAACATTTGTAAACTCTCCCAAGTTAGCTAGGTGTTTTGCCCACAGCCCCTACCTCTGAATAAATTGCATGGAATTTGAGAGATAGCTACAGGAAGAGAGACAGAAGAGAGATTAGCTCTTTGGATTTTTGTGCTCTTAGGGCAACAGGAAAAGGTGGTTCTAGATGCACAACAAAAGCTTTTCAAAGATAAATAAGAGTTTCCCAGGCATGTAGTGAAGATTTTTTTCCTGACAAGTGTTTGGGGTGGGGGCTCCAGGAACCGGCTTTATCTAAACCTTGGATCTTTTCTGGCCATTCTTGAATTACTAGCTTTTGGCACATTGATAACATGTAGAAAGCCTCCACCTTCCTTCCTATGCTAAACAAACCTCCTCTCTTCCATCTAGTAAGTAAGTGGGGGAGGAGTGCTGGGTACACCTGAAAAGTTACCTGGAGTTGGAGTTTAAACGTGTGGCTAATTGGCTTGACTGTGCCTCCTCCTAAGCCTGGGGTCACTGGACGTCAAAGTTCTTCACTCTCTTGGGGCTGGCCCCGTGGTGCACTGGATAGTGCACCGCTTGGGAAGCGCGGCGGCGCTCCCGCCCGAGGGTTCGG